GCGCTCGCTCCCAACCCCGCCCGCCTCCTGTGCTCGCCCGGGGGGCGTGCGCCGTGCTGCTGCTCCCGAGTTCTGGGAAGTTGTGGCAGACGAGGATGGGGGTCTGTGGGTACCTGTTCCTGCCCTGGAAGTGCCTCGTGGTCGTGTCTCTCAGGCTGCTGTTCCTTGTACCCACAGGAGTGCCGGTGCGGAGCGGAGATGCCACATTTCCCAAAGCAATGGACAACGTGACCGTCCGGCAGGGGGAGAGCGCCACCCTCAGGTAGGGAGCTGCCATTGTGCGAAAGACGGTGGTTTGTTGGGGTGAGGGCGAGGGCAGGCGGACAGCCAGTGTGCTGGAGCGTGCCGGGGCTGGAAGACAGGGTCCCTGGCTGTAGGATTCATGGAGGAACTGGGTGCTCTGCTTGGAAATGTGGCAGTGGTACATGAAATTCTCAGAGGTCTGGGGGATGAGCCCTTTGCACACACAGCTGGCCTCCCTGGTTTGGGGAGTGGGGGCAGGGGGAACTGGGCCAGGGAGTTGCTGAAATAGAGGGCAGTGGTCCTGACGCTGGCAGTGCTGGCAGTGCCTGCACCTCGTGGCCATGGTGTCTGCGGACGGAGGGGTGGGGGAGCCTTGTCTTTGAAGTTAATGGACCACATAAGAGGGATCTGGCTTGGTGTGAATTCCTGTACTCTGCCCAGGCCCTGGGGAGGTGCCACCCAGGGCTGCTGGACTCTGGCAGACTCTTTGCTTTGTCCTGGGCCTGAATGCTAGTGCTTTCCTGGGCGCCTTATGCCATGAGCTGGTGGGTAGGCAGAGATGCTTTCTTCGGTAGGAGTGTGGCTTTCTGAGGCTGAAGTCATGGAGTCTGATTTGTCCGTGGAAAATGACAATGACTCGGGTGGACTGTGCTCCGAATGTGCTGCCCAGCAAAACAGTGTGTGTAAAACTCATCACGGAACAGAAACTAGGCTTGGGCGTTGTGTTGGGTCCTGATTGGCTTCTGGGGTTAACGCTTACAGGAATAGGGAGGAGGAAGAGAGGATTTTTGGGTCTGCTTTGTGTAAAGTAGGACAAGTCTAGCTCCCCAATTATGTTCCTTACAGAAGCACTAACTGCATTTCCAAGATTGACAGAGCACACCGACCATACTGGGTCAACACACTTAATGACTGAAATAGAAATTCTACCCTCTGGAATTTTTAGAAGTTTAAAAGCTTTGTGGGACAACTTCCTTGCCTCTCTTTGACTTAAGTTCTCATTCGTAGTTTGCCAAACTGAGTAATTGAACCAACCTGAAGGCACCATGAGAATATTCTCACCCTTTGCACATGAAGATAGTTGGAAAGATAACCTTTCTGCTGGTGTCTACTGCTTTGATCCTGATGACTGTTCTTCATAGATCAGATTGTTGTGGATTACATGATTAGGACAATATTTGTGGGCTAGAAATGCTGAGGAGGGTCCTAATGATACAGGTGACTTATCAGAGCATCACCCAAGGAAGTGTGTCATATATGAGACCATGGAAGGGAGAAGCATGCTTAGATCCTTTGTCTCTGGGGAGCTAATCCTCAAGGCCCCACCAAACTCCTAGTTATTCACTGGCTTCTGGTGCTCCTTCACTGAACTCTTTGAGGACCACTTGGTCCAAGGTAGTGTATCTAACTGCACCCTTTCAGAAATGGCTGTGTCTCTGCTTCATAAGTGGATTTCATGGAAGTGGCAAAAATACAGTGGTTTCAGACAACTTAAATAGAAGAACAAAAATGAACCTCTAAAGCAAAATAGTTAAGGAAATTTAATGTCTTCCAGATGGCTTCTTTGTCCCTAATCCTTAGTTGTAAGGATGAACTCTCCAGGTACAAAATAGAGACATTCTCATTTGGGGAACACATTTGGTACAAATAGGAATTTTTTCCCCCAAAGAGAAGGTATATGGTAGTCATCAGCCCCACAGAAATTTGATGATAAAGAAATAGCTATTTAGCCTTGATGGGCGAATGTCACATCATGAGAAACGTAAAGAGTAGAGTAGCCACCATCTAGTCTTCAGAAGGTAGCCTTCAAGGCTCATGATAATTAGGACTTTCCAGAGAATGGCTGCATTCAGCAGATTCTGGACTAAGGGATAGACCTGTTATGGGGGTGGGACAGTTTGTTTTTCTTTTTTAAAATCATATTATCATGTACAGGCTGACTTCTCTTTTTTTGTCTTTCCTTTCGTGCTTCCCTGTCTTGCAAGCATTGATGTTTGTTTGCATTTTTATATATGCTGCCTACAGAGTGTGCTTGTCTGAGTGTAGATGGGGGATTGAGGACATAATGGGGTTTCCTCTCTAGATCCTTAAATGAACTCCAAACCAACTATGTACAAAAGATAGCTGTCCCCCAGTGACTCCTGCCATTGTGTGTTAGCCTCAGGGACTAGATATTGTCTTGAAATGGAAGGGAAGACCTTCACAGTGCATGGGGCTCTACAGGGAAAGGATTAGACGAGCTGGGGTCTGATTGATACCAGCGACTGGCCTTGGCCTTGATTTAGGACTGAAATTGGACACCAGATATACCAGGCAGTCTGTACATAGGACAGCCAATGACTGTCACAGGTCTAATTCTTAGGTGATAATGCACTAGAACAAGGACTGACTGCCTTGAAGGGGCGCTTCTGTAGGATAGAAGCCCTGAAGTTTCCACACAGGTTCTGCATTTCCTAATTCCATGTGCCAAGAGGCAAGTAGGGATTTCAGAATGTATTTTGTTTCCATAAAAAATTGCTAAATTTGCACATAAACTGATTTCAGGTTGCAACAATTTAGTTAAGAATTCTGAGTTATTTTATTTTATTTTTTTCATCATGTGTGCAGAAGATGCAAGCCTCCCCACCACACCTTTACCTAATTGTGTGACTAAACTTCAGGGAACTATAACAGGTGGAGGTCTTAGTCCTTCTGCTCTGCCCTGGGAGGACACCCTTATCCACCTTACTGTAGTTTCCTTCATAACCAGTAGAGGACTTTTTGCTCTAATTTTATTCTATTCTGCTTTGTTCTTACCAGTATCATTTTTGGAAGATCTTTTCCAGTCCTCAAAGAATAAATGCTTCAGTAGCAGATTCTAAATTGAAGAAACTTTTAAAAATGTATTACTTTATCCAATTAGTTCTAATGATCTTTGCAGAGTTATTGGCAAACCTCTCTCCTCATCTGGTGTTAACACTGAAAAGAATGCCATTTTGCAATTTCTCACACTTTTTGCCCTCTTGATTATATTAGGCATGCATATTTAAAAAAAGGTAAAGTTATGGATAATAGAATCTGCAAAAATAATACCATCAAATTTTATTGAGAGCTAATTTGTGTTGAGGTGTATTAAAGCATTTTATACAGTATGCAACCCATCACTCAGCCTGATGTTCACATGTAACCCTAATAACCATCCCATGATGACATTACTGTTATTAATTTTATTTTAAAGATGGGTAAACGAAGGCCAGATCAGTGAACATTACTCGATTTAGGTGTCACAGCTGTGAAGTTTTGAAGCTAGATTAGCAGGTGGTAGTAATGATCATGTTAATACGATAAATGGTAGTATCAGTTATTGGCCAGTTACGTATGAATTGTTTCATGTACATAGTAACATTTAATCACCACAATTCTCTGAAGTAGAATTATTGGCTCCCCATTTTAAAGAGGAGGAAGCTGTGGCCCAAAGAGAAAAATTAAATAAAATCACACAAGTAGCAAGTACAGGAGTGCTGACTTGGGACTTTACTTTGTACACCAAGTTTCCTTTGGACTTCTCCCAACCTGTTTAATTCTGTTACATCTGTGTTCACCTAATTTCTCAGTGATATGTAACGTCTTTCTACTCATTTTTGGCTTAGATTCTATTTTACAACACTTTTTAACTCTGTCTTTCTGGGGTGGGCTGAGAGGAGATCTCAGAAAGCAAAGGTTACACCCTGTAATGCTATGGGCACTGGCAGATGTTATTGAACAGATGAGTGAAACCTAAACAAAAATATCCCACTGGTTGTATTAAATGTAACTCATCACTTTTCTCTATCATTTCATTTTACAATTCACCTGTGGTCAACAAACAATTTATTGAGGGATCCTTTCAGGAAGGGCATTGAGCCAAGTGTTGTGGTGTGAACTTGGTGTCAGGAGCCTCAGGTCCCACTGTGAAAGCCAGGCTGTGGACAAGAATACAATGGAGCGAATGAGCCAGGGTGTGCATTATGCATCTGTGTTGTGTGAGATAGGCTTCTGCCTGTGTCCAGAGCTGGGAGCCCTCTGTCAGAGGGGCTGCTTTCTGTGGTGGGATTGCCTCAACGCCTGAGGCAGCCAACCATGTGGGTGTCCTTCAGTTAGAGACCTTCGCTCTGAGCATCTACACATCACTTAGTAATTTTGCTCAATGTGTTTCGGATTTCAGAGATTCCCCAGATAAAACAGCAGCTAGGGGAGTAAATTATTTCCCAGGCAAGTGAGTATTGGAGGCTGAACTGAACCTTCTGTCATATGTCTAGACTAGAGGCTCTGGAAATGAATGATGTTGTTTTTCTGGGATGAGTTAAAAATAAAAAGTCTGAATTGTATACAAGATTAAGGTTGAGTTTTATATGGCAACACACAAAATGACAGAAAAATGTGGTTAGATATGTGAATGGACCCAGAGGCTCTTTCCAAATTTAAAAAGTGGTAGCATTTAGTACATGTTGTCTAAAGCACTTATTTTATTTTCTTAGCAGACTGGATATCTGTTAGTTCTGCAGTTATTCTAAGCTCTTTTGCCTCCCAGTAATAGAGATCCAATTTAGAGGCATTTTACCACTGAGCCACAAGGTCTCCCTAAATTGCCCAGGCTGGCCTTGAATTAGCCACCTTTCTGCCTCAGCTTCATGAGCTGCTGATATTACAGATGTGTACCACCATGCCTGAGCTTTTGAAGGCAGAACTATGCCTTCCTTGTGTTTGCATTCCAGTGCTGAGTTTGTGATATGTTTTGCTTTGTTTTTTTGGTTTTTTGAGACAGGGTCTCACTATGTAGTTGAGACTGACCTGGAACTCACTATGTAGCCCAGGCTTGTCTCGAACTCACAGCGATCCTCCTGCCTCAGCCTCCCGAGTGCTGGGATTACAGGCATGTGCCACCACACCCAGCTGCTGAGTTTGTGATATGGCTGTAGTGTATGCCATTTAAATATGAGTGTATGTCTCCCTACCCTTTCCTTCTTTTTCCTGTGGTGTAGACGCTCCAGCTCTTTCTAT